GGGTCATGATGATGATTTAACATTTATATAGTGCAAATTAACATGTGGATATCATCAAATGTGCTTTACAATACTGTGCAGGGGACTTTACCAGACTGCCAGTGGCAGTTTACAATCAACAAAGGCGAATTTTTTAACAGATGCCCCCTCCCCCAATTCCCAGTAACCAGGCCACACCACATCACAGTAATCTCATGATGTGCGTTCATTAACGTCCCCTGCCTAATCAAATTATCTATTAAAGATGCAAGAGACGGGACCTACAGTTTATTCATCCTTATCCAAGAAGACTAGAATGTCCATTTCTTGAAATTATAGAATGGAAACACATTTTCCTCAGTTGTTTTAAGACCAAGAGTGTTGGTCCAACCAGAGCAGAAGTTACTTTGATGATTCCATGGACAAGAAGTCAGTTGTGATTATCAGAGCTTTGAATTTCAGGTCTTCATCATTATTTTTTCAGCATACCCCTTTAAAAAGGCAGCTGTTCTCTATCTTTTTTTTAAGGGTCTCCACCATCTGATGAGATAAGTGTCTTACTAAAGAAAGATGCAGGTATTGTAAAATCAATGTGCATATGCCATGTTTCTTCCCTGGCCCTTCTTAATTGAACACACAAATTGAATTATTGTATCTCCTAAAACACTACAATAGATACTTAACAATAATCATTTCATGGTGTCTTTCCTTGCTCAGACTAGTTTATAATTTGTTTTTAATTTTAACAGGGGTTTAAGGCCTCACTAGAAACTATTATGCATTTTGCACTACAATAAATAAATTACTGTTAATTTGTGTTTTTTCCCTTCATTTTTATAGTATATAAGGCTTGTGGACTTGCATCATATGACCTTTTTGATGAAATTGACTTTGATAATTGGTTTCTCAATCAACTACTCCAGGAATTAAACAACCACTCATCCAGGTATGTGTTTACGGCAGGTATTGCATATAAAATGTGACAACAGAAAATACTCTTCTTTCCTGGAAGCTAGACTATTAAATGTCTTCTATAGTGAATTAAACCAATCCAAAAACCTAGCCCTAGAATAACTACTAATGATTACTTGAAAGCAAATTTAGGAGGCAGAAAAGCTGGTTGCAGCTCTCCATAAATCACATTTATGAAAAGATGTACCCATGCTTTCTTTTGTTTGTACAATTACTGTACGTATATCTAATTATCAAGGTTTGTTGAATAGAGTCCATAGTTTTTGTTTTACAGTTTACACTAAAAACTCTCCATATTTGGATAATTCTTAGTTCTCAATCAACAAAGTTGAAATGGTAAATTGGCCACCGTTACGATTATAAAAGCTGACGTTTCGAGCGTTAGCCCTTCGTCGGAACTTTGTTGATATATTCAAAATTATTTTGTTACCCCCACCGACGCAGCCCCAAACAGTTTCTTTAGAAACTATCAGCCTTTACTCAAACCATAATATATCCTAAGATACAGCCGTACATCATGTATCTGCATACTCAAACTTCATCTGAATTAGTCCACTTTGTTGAAAATTTGCATAATTAGCATGCCAATGTTTTTCATCAACTTTGTTTATGCATATTTTAGTGCTGTATTTTTCAAAAACAATGATTGAGTCAATTTTGTCATCATGACACATGAAAAAAGGAGAAAGAAGTCCTTGGTTGAAAAACAAAATAACGCCAAGACCAAAACAGGGCAAAACTTGCAAAGATTGATTAAAAATATATATATTGAGCAAAGAGTGACAAGGGTTTGTGGTTTGTCCAACCTTCAAACATGTGTTTCCCTTGGTTTTATGAGCAATAACTTGAACTGTTTTCAATCCTCTCTCATTGAAAGATTAACAAATGTATATTAAGATAAACATTGTGGTCGTTGGACCAGAGAAATCATCAGTTTCCAGAAAGAAAGGAAAAAAGAAATTTTTTAAAAATTAAAAAAGAAGTTAGGGATCAGTTTAGATCTTTTTCTTTGAAATCAGATGGTTTGAAAAAGGTGTATATCCAAAAAACATATAATTATATCCTCAATGTGGTGGTAGACTAAAACACCTAAAATTTAATATTACGGAATCTCCTTTACATGCTGTTTGAACTAGAGTAAACAGTTACCGGTCACTTTGCCTACATCATTGTCAACTCACGGATACCTTTGGTCAACTTGTGAGTTGGTTGTGGTAAGCTGACGTGTTGGTGAAGTGACCAGGTACCTTCAAAGAAAGCTTTGGTCATTCTTTTCACAGTTGCCTTGAGAAACATGACCAAACTGATAGAAAGCTCGTCTTTTAAACCGGCAATCTAAATCCCATAGGGATCAACAAACGCTTTTCATTCCACTAATTTATTCATGTTTTTCTCGTTGCCATGTTCCCACCAATAACCTAGCTCCATTTTCTGCCTTTAAAAGCCCACACGACCCACAATTCCTCTATTCGCTCAGACGAAGGGCTAACGCTCGAAATGTCAGCTTTTGTAATCGTTATGGTGGCCAATTTACCATTTCAACTTTGTTGATAATTTATATCCAAATTATTTCGTTACCCCCACCGACGCAGCCCCAAACAGTTTCTTTAGAAACTATCAGCCTTTATTCATTTGATAGAAACATCCCTGTTGAAGGCATGTGATTGCTTTTGACATTTGCTGGGAACATACCCTGGTGTCAATTGGATATCTAGATGAGATTAACAGTACAAACAACGTTACCTGAGGACAATTGTTCGGAAATTGTCATTTCATCTCTGTACTAAGTTGTTTTTCCAAAGCAAATTTTTAAGCACACACAAGCAAAAAGATACTTCTTACTGCAATCTTTTGTTTATGATGCAAATTTTGAAGAAATGGTACTCTATCATTGGAAAATCTTCCTTTAAAAGCCTGTAATCTTTGCATAAATTTTCAATCAAGCTTTTGATAAATCTTTGCAAGAAGGAAGGCAAAATGATCCATTTTCATAGCATCACTTAGGCCTGTTCAATTGTTCCAATTGAGCTAACCGCCTCCCCGTTGGTTAGAGCGCCGGATTGTGTTGTGTGGGAACTTGAGGGTTTGAGCCCCAGCTGGACCAATACTCATGGTCTTAAAATAAGTGAGGAGAATTTGCTACCTTTCTATAATCAAGAAATGGATACATATTCTAGTCTTCTCCGATAAGGACGAATAAACCATAGGCCCCGTCTCCTGCAGGGTTAGGGGTAGGAGATGTTAAATTCCCATGCACAAGATTACTGTGTGGTAGATGTCCTCCTCTGGGTGGGATGGGTGAGTGTTGGCCCTGAAAAGCCCCTAAGGGGAGTGGTCAATTAACATATGTATGTATGTATGTTCCCAATAATGTAGGTCATTCTAGATATTAGAGTATTCACTAAATATTCATATTAACTAAATAGGTGCATGGGCAACAAGCTGCAACAAGGAAAGAAAAAAGTAACCAACAATGACTTTGCTTCCAGTCACCTAAATAGATAATTATGTATTTTATGCTATGTGTAAGAACACTTATATGTTTGGAACTAAAATTAGTATTAATTTTACATGTAGATGAAGTTAGAGTGGAAGCCACAGTAGATGGCATCAGAATGAGATTTCACATGCATATATTTGTGAGCTGGTATTTCTTGGTCCCTGGCTATAACAGCTCTTTATCTACTTAAAATGTAAGCACAATACTTTCACATGGTACTTGTTCATCATTTAGGTATAAGATTCTGCGGCGTCGTGTCATTTGGATGGCAGGCCAGTGGATAAATGTGAGATGTGCACGTCAAACCAGGACTGCATTGTATCCAGTACTCCTCAATTTAATGAATGTTCAAGAAGATTTGGTGGTAAGCCCCAGAATTTTTTTTGTAAGAAATTAAACAAACTTATTTGTAGCTTTTCCTTTGGCATTGATAAGGTCTCTTATCTTTGGTTACTTGGTTGAGCTTGGTTTCCCTAGTCAAAAAAACTAACATGAATAGGACAAGACCAAACTTTTTGTAAGCACAGTTTCAAGATACCCTTCTATAGCTCCAGCTAACAGAGTAATGTTTGTTGGTTAACTAAAACTGTTTACTGGCCAAATTATCAACCAAATCAGCTGTCTTTGAGCAGATACCTATAGCAGCTTTCATTCAAAATATGCTTTTCAGCACATACTGGTGACATTATAATTATTATAATATGTTCCTCTGAAAGAGGGAAAAGTGAAAATACAATCACATTGTCCAGAAATCAGCAATGCTCCATATATAAGACATACTTAATCCATGACTAAGCTCAGAATATGACAAGACCAGAGACATCCACCCTTTCAATCTGCTTTCACTGAAGAAAGAATTTACAAACATGGAAATATAATTAAAACAATTTTGCTGAAAGCTGATCAACAAGTGAGTTACACTGTCAGTGCTTATACATAAAGCAACTTGGTGCTCTGCCATCATTAACTGGACCAAGATTGAAAAAGCTGAACTGACTATTATACAATGAACTCAGAAAATGAATTATGAAAGAGTGCTAAAGTTACTGAACGGATCCTTGTTTTAATCAGTTGATCAGCCCTTAAGCTTCTGATCCTGGTAAGCTCAGGAACTAATATCATTATCAAATGTTGTACACAATATTCACTTATAATTGCTAAGTAAACAAATTGAGATATTTCCACGGTAAAAAACATGCCAATTTTGCATACAAAATGTGTTTATTTTTCTTGATAAGGAAATAAAATTGCACTTTGTGGGACTTTGCTATAAATTAATAAAGTTTGTCTGTCGGTGAATCTTTGAGATATGACTTCTGTGTTTTGGCTATCAGCTGAAGAGTGTAGTTTACAAAAGATGATATTTCTGTTGCCTCACAGATCTAGAAGTAATATGAGTTTCTATTTACATTAATTCCCCCACCATTACCCCTAAAGTTTATTAAAGGCAAATACTGTATTTATTGTTTTGCAGTTGTTAAGGATTTGGGGTAATCGATCTTTCCTTTTTCTGTCTTTTAGGGTTTGGGGTGACCTTCTGCCATTCCATCATTTTAGGATTTAGGGTGATTTTCTGCTGTTGTGTCTTTTAGGATTTGGGGTGTTTTCTGCCTTCCATCAGTCTGCCATTCTGGCTTTTAAGTTCACCCATACCTGTGTGTTCAGTTTCTGTCTCATTGTCAGTTACGGGTATTGGTATTAGTAAGTTCTTTCCTGAGAATATGCTATCTTGACCAGTCCTAGCCCACAGACCTTGATGTAAGGTTATATAATATTCTTCAGTTTTATTATTTGTTAATGTCTCAGGTTCGTCTCACTGCAGCAAGTACACTCAAGACTGATATCCTTTGTAACCATATTACCCCTCTTTCTGTAGAGATGGCCATCACTTTGAGCTTGAAAGATTTAACTCTTAATTCCCAGCATATACTTGGGAGGCCACCAGGTGTTGCAGTTCAGGTTGGAAAGTTTTAAAAAATTAGCTATATACCCACTAATAACATGATAAGGATTGTTTTGTCATAGCATGCCATCAATAGCCCATTGCTTTAATACCTACTGGACTGACTATTTTTTTCAAATAAAAATAATTCATACACATAGCAGATAACCATTCAGTGAATTCCTTGATCCTTATCAGCTATTGATGATGTAGAATTTGATCTTGGAGATTTTGTTCAGGTACAGCTGAATAAGATGTAGTATGTATACTTGAGGTACCAGGTTCATTTAATTTAAGGGAAAACATGTCCTTTTACCATCATTTTTATGAGTCTTTGAAATTGTTCATAAGATAAAGTGGCAAACCCTGCTATCAATAATATGATTGAATATTAGAAATCTAGACATGTTTAATTAATTATTGTAGATGATGCTGTTTCTCCCTTTTGTTTATCAACTACTATTTCACAGTCCCAGTCTTTTCAGAAAATGGACACAGCTTCAAAGAATTCACATAGCCCAAAATCATCCACCCTACTACATGTTTACTTATACTAAATGTAATATCAAACATTTCCTTAAAGGAAACTCTTTGAGTGAAAATCCTCTAATTCTATAGCTATCTAATTGATGCAAAGTGGAAGTAAAGTGGAGTTCCATTTAGTGCACACTCAATAGCAATACACCTTTTGCTGTTCATAACGAGAAAATACGCATTCATTTGCATTAAAAGGTGAACCAAGTGTGTGAAAATACAATCATTAAAGACAAAAAAACCGTCATTTGCGCATAAACAAGTTTCAATAACGATTTTTGCATTTTAACAAGCATTCGAATTTTGGGAATTCTTATGCATCATTCGTCAAACAATACACTCTCATTTGCGGTAACCATTTACACCATCTTAAAAGTCAATAGAGACAATAAACAATCAATATAGTGCATATAGCATTCATTTACACCATCTTAAACGAATGATGCATAAGAATGCCCAAAAATTCGAATGCTTGTTAAAATTCAAAAATCCTTATTGAATCTTGTTTATGCACAAGTGACAGTTTTTTTTTTTTGTCTTCTTTGCCCTGGCCGGACCAATACTCATGGTCTTAAAATAAGTGAGGAGAATTTCCTACCTTTCTATAATCAAGAAATGGATAGATATTCTAGTCTTCTTGGATAAGGACGAATAAACCACAGGCCCTGTCTCCTGCAGGGTTAGGGTAGGAGGCAGGCACAGTGTCGATGTTTCTGTGCAGAGCTCCGAGCAGTTGCTGTGTTCGAAACCCCCCACTGGGATTCCCCTGGCTCTGGCCTCATCTCTGTTATCCATGCGTCTTTGAATTTCCGGATGTGAGATGTCAGCTTGACGCTGCTTTCAAACAGCTTATTGCCTGCTCCACAATGTTTAGGAAATGACTGTAGGGAGGAAGCGTTTTAAGCTCCATGTTTGGGGCGGGAATGACCGTGTTTCAGTGGGCTGGTGCTCCGTCATGCACAAAGATCACCTCCTCATTGGTATCTAGATTTGTCTTCGCCTGTGCCAAGAAGTTATCGAAACACGTAGCATTCATTACGGGCACACACAAAGATCACCCCCTCATCGGCATCTAGATTTGTCCTCGCCTGTGCCAAGAAATTATCGAAACATACAGCATTCACTCTGCCAACAGCTGCTGAAGACGACACTTGTCCATTGATAGGCGGAATTGCCATGGTCACGGTCAAGTTTCAGCATATCAAGTCTGTTTCTGTCAGCAGGAAGCAGGAAGGGGCCTCGCAAGTTTCACTCAGAAGAGCGTCGCACCCCGTCTGATGTCCTTGCCACGGTGCGGTCATGGATCTCAGGTTTGAGTGGTAGTTTATCCGAGCAAGTGTGAGTAAACAGTTTTCGTTGATGATTTCCTGTAGGCAATCTCTCATCTTATCATCCATGCACACCTTGTTTCTACCTCCTCGTGATCTCTCCTGGATCCTGCCCTTTCTGATGTAGTGCGCCACAATGCCTCTTGCCATTGATCAGTTCACTCCGAGTGAGTCTGCAACCACAAGATAATCTTCCTCCTCAAATCCTCTCACAATTCTCTCTCCGTGTTAAAGTAGTAGTCGGTTTCTTTGAAGTGAATTAACCGGATGAACTCTACTGAATGTAAATTCAGACAAAATCAGTGTTCAGTTGAAAATGGCTACTTGCATATTGAATATAAAAAACACTGAATTGTTTGTACAAGTGCATTAATAATTGTCTTATTCATACTAATGCCATCCAGTAATGCTATTGAATTGCAAACAGTGTGATAAAAATGTTAATGAGTGGTTCATGGAGTATATTGTATGTGTATTGTCTCTACTGACTTTCAAGATGGTGTAAATGACTTGGATGTTAGCGCAAATGAAAGTATCTTTTTCTCTTTTGTTTGACGAATGATGCATAAGAATGCCCATAATTGTTATTGAATGCTGATTAAAATGCAAAAATCGTTATTGAATCTTCACGTGCTAATGACGGGTTTTTTGTCTCTAATGATTGTATTTTCACACAATTGTTTGCCTTTTAACGCAAATGAATGCGTATTTTCTTGTAATGAACAGCAAAAGGTGTATAGCACCATATTTGGTCACCCAATTTGTTTGTCAAATATGTTGTCATAACAAGCAATCCACTCAAGCAAACATGTGATTTTTGGGCTTTTTAAGTCAATTCTCTCAATTTGAAAATGTCCTTCATGATGCAAATTTTGAAATATGCTAATCTATAACTTTTAAAAAGTGTACTGAGCACCAGGCACCTGGCACTTTGTTAAGTGAAGTTTTTTTTGACAATTTCTGAAAGTTGAGAAATTGCTGGATTTTTTTGATGATTTATAGTCAAAGAGGTTGTTGACAGATGATCCTTGTAAATTTTTAATTCCTATGTACTCTAATGTAGTTGAACTTACTAAGTATGTTGATTGCAGTTTTTGGATGGAAGCTTTGAAGCACTTTTTAACCTCCTCAAGTGTACCCACGATTGTGATACAAAGGTACTTTTTTCAGAAGTTCCATAAAGTCAGTGAGATCAGCACTACATAGTATTACACAGTTGTCTGATCGTAAGCTGTCCAAGAGGATTTTGTACTATTTTTTTTTCTGGTCATAGAGGTGGTTGGGCAGGTATGACATCAAAAGCTAAGACAACAACAAACATATGAAACATATGTATGAACTGCGGTTATGAAACATATATGTGCACGATCCTTCGCAGTAAAGCACTATTTGAGCAATAGTGAAAAATCAGACCTGAAAAAAATTTCAGGCCTGTACAGGATTCGAACCACTGACCTCTGCGATACTAGTGCAGTGCTCTACCAATTGAGCTAACAAGCCAACTGGGAGCAGGCCATCAAATTAATTCGACATAAACCCGTAGATGATAAATCAAACAACAACAAACATATGAAACATATGTATGAACTGCGGTTATGAAACGTATATGTGCACGATCCTTCGCAGTAAAGCACTATTTGAGCAATAGTGAAAAATCAGACCTGAAAAAAATTTCAGGCCTGTACAGGATTCGAACCACTGACCTCTGCGATACTAGTGCAATGCTCTACCAATTGAGCTAGCAAGCCAACTGGGAGCAGGCCATCAAATTAAATCGACATAAACCCGTAGATGATAAATCAAACNTGATTTATCATCTACGGGTTTATGTCGAATTAATTTGATGGCCTGCTCCCAGTTGGCTTGTTAGCTCAATTGGTAGAGCGCTGCACTAGTATCGCAGAGGTCAGTGGTTCGAATCCCGTACAGGCCTGAAATTTTTTTCAGGTCTGATTTTCACTATTGCTCAAATAGTGCTTTACTGCGAAGGATCGTGCACATATACGTTTCATAACCGCAGTTCATACATATGTTTCATATGTTTGTTGTTGTTTGATTTATCATCTACGGGTTTATGTCGAATTAATTTGATGGCCTGCTCCCAGTTGGCTTGTTAGCTCAATTGGTAGAGCGCTGCACTAGTATCACAGAGGTCAGTGGTTCGAATCCCGTACAGGCCTGAAATTTTTTTCAGGTCTGATTTTCACTATTGCTCAAATAGTGCTTTACTGCGAAGGATCGTGCACATATACGAAAAAGCTAAGACTGTAAAAACCATGCATACCTTGGTATACCACTGGCACTCTGGATAATTTTCAGCTCTTTTATCAGGTCATAAGTATCCATCAAAGCATGTTGGTGATTCCAGAAAGTCAGCCTTATTCATTTTATTTGGAAAGTTTCCACACCTCAAAACATCATTAGGGTATGGGAGATGTCCAGAAGAATTGGATGGTTATGTATATATTTTATAATCCTTTGTATGCTAAAACTGCTAACACAATTTCCTTTCAGATGCAGGTGCTGCATGTCTTATCATTACTTATTCAACGGATTGGAAGCAAGGTTAGCAAAATCATTTATCATCTTTGAAAACTGGCATTCTTTGTTTTAATACATGTATAATGTTTCCGCCCTCTGACATAACAGCATTGTCATCAAGTTATTGTTGTTACTATTTTTGTGTACCATATAAATGTGGATGTAGGTTCTGTAAGAATTGGCAGCTTGTCCTCAAGAGATATTTGTGCCAAAATTAACCTGTACATGTTGTTTGTTTTAATTTTTCTTTTTTTTTCTAAGGTCCAACCATTTGCTATCCCACTTTCAATCTACCTTCCTGAGTTGTGGCAGGCATCTGGTGACCATAGCATGCTTCAATGTGCAATTGTCTCCACAGTGACTCACCTTGTAGAGGTCTGAAAAGATTTAGTCTTGTTTTCCACAATGAATTCAATGGCAAGGTTTTTTCAAAATATCAGTGCCGGGGAAAGGTATTACAAATGCCTTTTGTTTGAAGCAGAAAAAATACACAATACACAATGTTCTTTGGAAAAAAAAAAGGTTTTAAATTTTTCTTTTAAACCTACATATACAAATATCACCCACTGACTGAGCATGTGTTTCAGCTTAGAAAAACCCTTCTAACCTGATGAAAGTGGTCTTTGAAAGAGCAAAAATTGCATTTTTTCATGCCACAACATGATCTTAGGAATTTGAGTTAACTGGTGACCCTGTAAAAAGACTGCACACAGCATTTTCTAGCTCACTCAGGAAAGCCTTTTCAAATTAGCCTCTCTAAACCCACCTGTTACTGTAGGCCAGCAGCTTGCACTTGACATTTTGCAACATTATGGAATGGAGGCTCTAGATAGGGTTTGATTCTATCATGTATCTAAATAAATCATACAATGAACAAAAAATGAGGTAGTCGCCAACTGTTAAGAAGATAATCTCATTAAACCATCAATCTCTCAATCCATCAAATAAATTTATTCTTGGCATGAAGACTTGATCTGCTAAGCATGAGCTATGACATTTGGTGTTAAAGTTACTTTGATGGCTCTGTTGTTTCACAGGGCCTTGGTATATTGAGTGAAAATATGTACTCTTTCCTTCTGCCCTTGATTCAGCTCAGCACAGATGTTTCCCAGGTGATAAATACAATACATACAAGTTTACTTTCCAAATTCCCCATGTGTAGATAATGTAGAGTCAATCATTCACAGAACAACAGCCCTTTATTGTTGAACAAATGCAGTAAGAAATAGGACTAGTGCTTTTGCACAATTAAATAAGGAAAAGAAAACCAGCAATTAATGAAGTGAGTGAGGGTGTGGGTCACCTGGCCTCTTGCATGTTGTTAGGAAATTGGAGACATTAAAAAGTTTCCTTAAGACAGGATGACTTCATTGCCACAAGGTCAATTGGTGGTGCAGAGATATTATATTTGGTTGTATTACTAACTGCATCATACTTCATTATACTGCATTTTTACTTTACTAAAGTATATCAGATTACACTTTACATTCACAATACATGATTATATCATATTACATAAGATTACCTTGCTGGTGAACATAAGTTCCATTTGTCACTGTTTCATTTTTTTAAGCCATCACACATTTACTTGATGGAAGATGGACTGGACCTGTGGTAATACATTTTTGCTGCTTCAGTATTATGTATGGCCATTAACAATGAGGTAGACACCATTTTGGGAAACATTGGTTCCCATGATATAATACCTACAGATCTTGCCATACCATACCCCAGGGTGTGAATTAAATTGGGTGAAGCCCAAGGGGCAGGTTGTTTGAGATCTGCTTGACACAAATTATGGTTCTACTCCTTAAAAGATCTTTATGTTGACATAGCAGGTATAACCTTGAATGTAATTGTTGCATGAAAAATTTGTTCAGTCTCATGAAACAGAAGAACCTGTTCCCTGCTAGTCATGTTTCCCTTTTTACTTTCGCTATCTATGCCTAGTGAATGAAATTTTTATGTGATTAACTACCATTGATTCCAGTAACTCTGACTTTTTAAGAAAAAGGCTTTAGGCAATAAGGTTAGATTTATTAAGTTGAAATTATGAAAACAAGAGTAAATACAAGAAGCATTAAACTTGAGTCCTGGAGGGTTTGAAAAAAAAAAGAACCTTGTAGAGTAATGCAATTCCTTCTGGTTGAGTTTGGTTTACAGAATGTCCTAAATGTTACTGTCATATTGGGATTTTAATCATAGTATTTATGGCACAAGTCACTTTTTTTTAGTGAACTGAGTGATTGGCATGACTGACCTTAGTGTACATTTTTGATAATTGATCCTAAAAACTCTCCTCTATGATTTGTATTTGCAGGCACAATGTTTTGATGAATGCATCATGTATGGCTCCTGAATTGTTGCAGCTATTCACTAATATGCCACCATTATTGGGTAAATGGAAATGATTACAACTAGTTTTCAACAAGAAAGTCATCACTTTGTGCTTTTTTAGTTCATTGCTCATCATAGGTTAGGTAAGGTGGAATCAGCTGCCATGAAAATAAGAGGTAATCATGCTCTGGATGCAGAAAAAAAATTGAGTATTTAATTATGCAAATGTAACTGATAGACAGTTGACGACAAAACAAAATGATTGCTAGTGCTCATCTAGTATAATTATATTAAGCAATATGACCTGTCAAGAGTAACTGGGAGTGGCAGTTATCATTGAAGAAAAATGCATACTACAAATTCAAGACAGTTGATTTTCTTGTTGGGGTAGGGGTAGGACTCTAATGCATCTCCCTACCCTGTACATGTACCACTAATTCAAATTTTCAAAATGCAAGGCACTGAAGAAGTAATGCATTCATCCCAAAGCTATAATGCCAAAATTGCATTTAAACTTTTGAAGCAGCTAGGTTTTAAGGGTGGTTGATATATACTTGAAACTGTTACTGTATAAGTGAGAAGTTTGTTTTGTTACGTTTCTTCACTTTCTTTACACTTTCAATCTTACAGAAATCTCTACTAAAATCACCTTAATTGCAGAATTAGGCTCTGAAAACCTCAGAACATGCTTTGCCATCGTGGAATCCTATGTGTTGTTAGATCAGAGAGCATTTCTTCAGGTTTGATTTGATAAATTCATATTTGATAATATCACAGTGATGGCAATTAATTTTTTTTGTCATTTTTTTTTAAGCTCCTCTTTCTTTTAACAGAATTGTGGTGCACCTGTTGTAGATGCTTGCTTAAGAATGCTTGGAAATATAAAACCAGAGGGCAGCATTATCCTTTCTAGGGTATGGGTGTATCCTTTATAAACATTCAGTTTACACCAGCCTGTATTTTTAGTCCAGTGTCATAACGCCCTTTTGTTGAAAAATAATTCAAGATAGAAATTGGAAATGAGAGGAAGATCAACATTTTTTTTTTGGCAAATACATGTAAACATCTCTAAATTATGTAATACTGAAGGTACATCTGGCTGAAAGTGCATCTGACTACGTCTTTATAAGACGTCATTCAACATACTTAACAATTATTCCACGAGGGCGCGTTGGATATGAGATGATAGATATCCAACTCGGAGCTACGCGCCTCGTACAAGCGCGAGGGGAATAATTGTTTTCTTAAAAAAAAACGCCCTCAAGATATTAGACTAATCTTCTAGACTTTATTTTGTAAGAAGAAACCGGATGTTACAATGTACAGATATTAGATTATGGTATATTGGCTCATATACTATAATGGCTAAGCCAATAAAAAGTCTTGAATTGCATTATCCAATGATCCAGTTTTTAATAATATACATTATCCAACATCACTAGAAATTTACCTTTCACTGTGATTGGACATCATTTAACGTCACTAGACTTGTCCACCATCATTCAACATTATCCACATCATTCAACATCATCCACCATCTTAATTTTAATTTAATTTTAATTTAATTTAATTTTAATTAATTTAATTTTAATTAATTTGATTTTAATTTAATTTAATTTTAATTTAAATTAGTTTTAATTTAATTTAATTTAATTTTAATTTATTAGCTTCGCCGACAGGCAGGGACCCCGCAACAGCTTGCGCCAATTTCTGCGGTCCCTAGTACCCACCCATCCCATACCCCAGGGGAGGACATCCACCACACAGTGATCTCGTGCGTGGGAAATTAACGTCTCCTGCCCCAACCCTGCAAGAGACGGGACCTACGGTTTATTCGTCGTTATCCGAGAAGACTAGAATGTCTATCCATTTCCTGATATTATAGAAAGGTAGCACATTCTCCTCGGTAATTTTAAGACCTTGAGTGTTGGTCCGGCCGGGGCTCGAACCCTCGACCGCCCGCTCAACTTGCCGGCGCCCTATCCATTGAGGTAACCGGGATGCGGTCTTTTACATCATCCACCATTACTCAACATTATCCACCATTATTCAATATCATCCATACCCTTTCATTATCATGCACCATCATTATGAATTATCCACCATAAATATGCTTCATCCACCATCATCATACATTACCCACAATCATTATACTATATCCACCATCATTATACTTCAGAGGGGTTGGAACTTGTTATAAGTGAGAAGTTTTGAAAGCAAGTTTGTAATTTGCCAAGACAAAATGTATGATGGCCAGCTTATACGTAATAAGTAAAATACCCATTACTTCTGTCTAATAATGGAGAAGGATTTCATATGACAATGAATAATGTCTAATGAGCGTGAATGACACCAGGTGAACGATGTTTGATAACAGTCAATGATACGTAGTGGTGGTAAAGGATGTCTAGTGATAGTGAATAATGTCATACTTACAGTAACTGATATCTAGTGGTGGTGAATGCTGTTTAGTGATGGGGAATAATGGCTAATAACAGAGAACGACTCCTCATGACGGGGAATGATGACTAGTGATGGGGTAAATGATGGTTACTGGCAGGGAATGAGGGATAATTATTTCACGAGGCTATATGCCGAATTAAACACAACAACCTTGTGTTTTCGGATCATTTTAGCGAAAATGACCTAAAATTGCACGGCTAGAATAAACCTAGCGATGTTTAAAGTTGCCAAAGTCACTATGTCCTCCCACTAAACCATTCAGAGTCATTGATATATTTCACAAATCCAACGTTTGGCATAAAGCTGTAATTGCGCCTAATATTACACTTCCAACTGCACTTCATTGACATTGTGAAAATCTAACTCTCTTCGGTATTTTAAATCCATTCACTTATTGCTTGCCCATGTTTTTTATTTTATTTGGTTCTTTCAGGTTGTTGAAACTATCATCAAAGTCTCTCCTCTCACTGGTCCTGAGGTTTTCGCACCAGTGCTGCTGAAAACATTGAACATGATTCTTGAGGTCGAGGTAAATTTTCCACAGTAACAATTATGAAACGAGAAGACCTTAATTTATCATGTGACGATCGTTCACACAATTATAATTATAATGGTAGAGAGAGGGTGAGCCCGCTCAAGGTAATCGTTGAACAGGAAAAGTTCGTTGGTTCGTATTTATTTATTTATTTATTTATTTAGATTTCTGCCTTGTAGCGTCCCTTTGCCATTATTCCTAAGATTTAGCACCCCGTGAATACAACTCAGCGCAATAATTAGCACAAGAAAACGCAAGCAATTAAAATACAATAACTTGCAGATAATACATGTACGTCGATTTTTCTAACCCGAGGAGCATAGTATTCCTTTCGGAAGCAATAAAGATATTCTTCCCATTTAACACTGCGTTTGAACATCCTACTGCCAATGAGTTCGCGACGCGGAAAAAAGATGGCGTCGTCCATGGACCTCTGAGTAAATCGACCAACTCGGTGTGTACAAAAGGTTCCGCATATTTTGGTTTGTGAAAATGCCTTTCAAATACGTTCTGAATGGTTTCCCCTCAAGACCGTTATTGTTGGTTCCAAACGGACATTTCATGATTTTAACATGACCCAACTCTTAGTTGTTAACAGGGCGAACGAGTGATCTTGATCGGCCATGTGTATGATGATTTTGTTCTGAAGATTGTGAATGCGAATCGTTTTTATTTCGACTAACATTTTTCAGTTATTTTGAGAAGGAACCCTCAGATTATTTGTAAGTGTTCGATTTTTCGGTTTATTTGGGCTTTGTATACTTTCATTTTGCATTTATTTTACTTCGCGTTTGCAAGTTTCGATTGTGTAATTCTACTTTCAGAACTGACATATTTGTATGCCGTTTATTTCGATGAACCTGGATTAAGAGACTCTAGAATTAACCGATCGATTCAGCGGTTACACTTATTTTTACCAGTTTCCAAGGGACGTGAAATTAAAATAGAAGAAGGTTCTCGCTCGGTTACAAGTGGAAGGAAAGTGTAGTGCGCACTTTTCCGACGGACATAAGTATGGATTGCTGACGCTTTATCGTTCAGCTCATCCTGGATAACGAAGGGGTCAGGGTAAATGCACAGGTCAAGTTGAAGGGTAAGAAACAGTTTTCTGAGGAAGAAGATATTCACACAATAGGAGAACCTTACAAGTGAGAGTGTATGTAGGGAGAGGAATCAACCAAAGCTCTAGGCGAGGATGGTACAAGATGTACATGAGAGCCACAGATAGGTTTCAGACAGCAACAGCTGTCGACTACCGTAGAAAATTTTTCTGGTTGCCGCGCTTTTACTCTAGGATGGCCAACACGACCATAGGAATGTTTCTACATGAGTTAAGCGGGCTATGAACAATGATACATCCTAAGATGCCACGAATCATTCTCATTATCTCAACAACCTCTACATAACAATTAAGGAACTGAATTCAGAGTTTGTGGGGAGGAGAACAATACCACCCAATTCCATACATTAGCCATTTATCATATGTCATCGAGTTACCGAGGGATTAGAAGATTGCCTCCATCCAGCCCCTCGACCACTGCAAACTGACAGAACTATCAAATGCAGCGATTAGGGACAGGGCTGTAGCCAGATCTCAGGACAAGACGAGGCAAGTTTCGAGCGCCGAAGGCGCGAGCCGCGAGAGGGGTCTGGGGGGCATGCCCCCCAGAAAACTTTGAAATCTAGAGGTTTAGAAATGCTCTTTTAAGGATTTTCCGTGGCATTTTTCTTCAGAAAAGTCAATCTAAGAAAAAAATTTAAAAAGGCCAAAAGTAAGACGAGGCAATTGCCTCGTCTTGCCTCATGCTAGCTACGGCCCTGATTAGGGAGACATCCTTGGCATATGGAGGACTGTCTGGATTTGACAAGATCAACCAAGGTGAAAGAGATTAGGTGGAAAGTTAGCAAGAGGATGGAGTGATGAGTTCAAACTACCACCTACTTAGAGAAGCGTTGTTATGTAAAAACTTTGTCTATCAAGGCTACTGCAGAGACATATGGATGTCAAAGAAGCCCATAATACAATTTGGATGAGGTGCAGTGACAAATTTAGAGAATCTTTTGGGGGGGGGGGTTGAATCATCAAGGAGGAACTTCTCTTGCTTGCACCTTGCCTTGCAACCCAGGGAACACCTGTATAGGCATAGTACCCGACCGTAAGGAGTCATAAACGGCGTGGAACTCATGAATCCTCACGATTCAGGATTATTGATCGAGTATGAAGTAGACTGTCGACACACGATAGTTGAGAGCACCAAGTGAAGAGTGTAAACATTATTTCTGTCAATCGTGTTCGAGACAACGTAATTCCTGAAACATCACTTTTGAACGTATCAAATAATAAAAAGATTTAGCACCGCATTTACGCGAAACGGCAAACGTCAACTTGCCCCTTCGCGTTTGACGTGAAATAGTGTGAATCATGCTGCATTAGCTTCGCGTGAGTTCACGTCATGGTGGATTTGAAGGCGCCCTTGTATGACTAACAAAGAATAGTTTTGTGCCCTTTTCCGGCAGTTAACTTCTACTCTGTGAGAGAAAGGTAATAAAATCTTACGTACACGGCAAACGTGAAATAGGTTTCTTTCACGTAGAAACGGCAAAGGGCAACGGGCAAACGTGAAAAAAAAATGGCGGGAAAACAAAGACACGTGGTCACTCGTGCCGTTCTCGTTCACGTAAACGCGGCGCTAAATCTCTTCAGTGACCATATCATGTCCTTCCGCCACTAGTATTTGACTTAAACTGTTGAGAGCCGTGCTCCTTTATGTTTCGATCGCATTCTATCGTTCTTTCTAGGTTGGTGACCGTAAAATTCACAAAATATTTTGTTTTGTTTAGGAACACACGCCTCTTCTGGTTATCTACTTGTGCATAATTGGAGAAATCAGTTTGCATAATTACCCAGCGTTTGTTCATCTGGTCGAAAATGTTGCTCAGCAGCTCGGCACACAGGTTTGAGATGAGCTAAAGTGAATCTTTCACTGCCCTTTTTTTACTATCAGTTACTGTAAGGTTCGCCTGTATGCCCTTTTGCGTTCTTGGCTTGGCCCGAGAATTAACCTTTCAATGAAACCTCCTAGGCTGCCTTATACAAATATTGCAAGATCTAATTTTGAAGCACTCCAGGAAAAAGTATGCCAAATCTTTTCCTGAATAACTTTTACCAGAGGTGCTTAAGGGAGAAAAAGATGTTAACATCGCCACAAGTCATGTAGAATCGAAATCAAGTGTTGTTACTATGCGTCTCAATGAATTCATTTTCCAAGTTTATTGGCTCATTATTAACTCTGATTTTCTCCAGGCTGGGAACGTGTTAAGTCAGCTTCTCGATATATGGTTGGATAAAGTAAGCATTATAGTAACAAGAAGAAATTTGTAATACGTCCATCTTACATTTTTGGTGGCTGACTTATTGTTAATTTTATCGTTTCTATAGCCATTGCTTAAAATGATTCTTAACAGGATTACGAAAAGTTGTTTTGATATGAAACGAAGATTTTTCAACGTTAATTGTTTCTTTTCGGTGTTACTTGAAATCAGTGATTGCTTTAGTATGAGGATGACACTATTGCCTTCTTGTTTGTCTTTTTTTTTTTTAGATGGATGGCATGACACGGCTTGAACGAAGAAAACTCACAGTGCTGTCACTGATGACGTTGCTTCCTTTAAATGTGCAGTAAGACAGTTTTTTGACTCGTTAAAAAGTCAAGGGAAAGTTAGTCTTTTTCACGGCAGTTTATTTCAAAGTAATTAAGTTCTCCCCGTATTTGGCGAAGTGCTGATTCAAACTTTATACACCGTTTTATATAATGCTAGTAGAGGGAGATTTTAACAAATTTGTTTATTTAGCGTACTGAGTGTATACTTACAAAGACGAGTGCCAAGCGATTGTATTCGTTTTTATTTTCGCAACAGCAATTGTGTCATGGAAAGGTTTGCAATCATTGTGGATGCTGCTGTTGATGTCCTACACGAGATTCACAGAGTAGAAGATGGCGGCACTCACACTGAGTGAGAAATTGTTACTCTATATATAACGGGAACATCTACTTGTGGTATACATATAAATTTCAGGCAGTTCACATCTCATGACATTTTATGTAATTTTAATACCGCAACGTATAGATTGTTTTTTTCTTGCTGCCTCTCGCCTTCAGGTGGTGTCCTAACGTTATGTCAAATATTGTGTTATTTAATTTATGTCTTCATTGTATATGGCGAGCCCAGGGTGACAGAAATTTTGGCGGTAGACAAGGGGTCGATGGATGAAGTTTGTTCAGAGAAATAACCAAGGTGGTGAGGGTTAGGAAATTTGATAGTGTCAAATCCTGCTAGAGTTCTTGATGTCCAGACAACATTGAGCGCAATTTCTTACAATTATGCGCATTAAAAGGAATCAAAAGCAAACAAGGCTCATCCCCACAATTTTTTTTGTTCTTTGCTTCTTCGATTCACTCTGTTTGTGCACAATTTAAATTTTACATCATCAAACCACAAAGTAATAAAAACAGGGTTAAGCTTTCGTTTGATGTAGAATTCATTAGATTTGGTTTCGAATTGCGTTCCGGCATAAGAACAAACCTCGCATTAAAGGTCACGTCGGCATTCGTTGTGCTTTACAAAAAGAAGGGACGCTAAGCTCTTTTCTGTAAACTTTCGCCATAATTGTACTTGCCTAATCTCGCAATATACTGCTGCATCTTAGCTTGTAAATTTCATACGATTTCAACATCGGCAAAAATCGCTTGGCGAAATTCACTGTTGTTGCGCTACACAGAAACTGATCATAGTCTTCGTAGTATCAATGTTTTTTTTAACGGTTGAAGTTCCACTACACAGAACGTCTGAGTCGATTTGCCACTGGTGGCGAGTTGTCTCAGTGGTAGTGGCGAGTTTGTTATGGTGGCGAGCTGACTGGATACTTGCAAAATATGTCTATCAAATTTGAATTCATCAAAGGCAGAAATATACCATATTTGAAATTGGCAATCCAAGTGTTGTTCCGCCTTTCCTGCACGACAGTACTTAATTCGCTTACCTTTGAGAATAAGAGAGGATCAAGCAAAGGGTTTAATCAAGTCCTCTTGCTACAAGGCTAGCACATTGGACCTTCGTCTAGTATTATCGATGAAAGGCTTTTGTTAACGGTACTAAAGTTAAACCTCTCCACTTTCGCCACTAAAGTGAAACCTCTCCACATTCGCCACTTCGGGGGGTAAGTTTGGCCGTAGTGGGAAGGTAGTGTTGTGATATGACACCTTGTTTTGCGAACGAGTACAGTGTAACTTAAAATTGCTCTAATGCAAATACAACAGAACGATATGATACCGTGATTATAATATAATAATAATAATAATAATAATAATAATTTATTTCTTATATAGCGCTACTTACAATAACAGATCAATAGCGCTTTACAACTGATATCTCTAAATATTAAAATCTCATCTAATTAAAAAAAATAAATAGATAAATAAATAATAATTACATATTACAGTTAAATTGGCTATATAGGATTCATAATTTATCTACCATAAAAGGTTTGCCTAAAAAGAAAAGTCTTAATAGAATTCTTAAAAATTTCTATTGATCGAATATTGCGTAGTTGCAATGGAAGCTCATTCCATAGATGCGGTGCAGCTGCCTGAAATGCACGTTTACCCAGGGTTGCCATCATTTTGCCTCTAGGTGGCTCTAATAAAATACCTGAGTTAGATCTAAGATTGTACAAGGACAATATAGAATACAACAGAAACTCAATTTTCCAAGATTAAAAAGAACACCTGAAGTATTATGACTCAGTATAATATCGTTCTGTTGTATTTGATATTATAATTACGGTTGTATTCGTTCTGTTGTATTATCGTTCTGTTGTATTCGATATTATCGAAGGCCTGCTCGCTTACTGAGCAGTTGTTGTAAGACCAGTTACCAGAAAGATTATCTTAACATTACTGGTATCATGGTAATTCCATATGGAGGTTGGAAAGATCACGTACTTGTAATACCAAGTAGTTCTTATGTACAAATGTTAAGTTATATTAACTAAAATTGTACTGAGAATGACTCGTTATTACAGTTGACTTTTAAGTACTACGAACTGTTGTCTTTACTACGTTTTAGAATCACAGTGGAAATATGTCTCTCTTGTAACATTATTGTGGGTGACATTATTGTGGGTTATTAATTCGGTCATCCCTTTTCCTTTATGTTGTAGTTGTTTGGTTGTGCTTGTTGGAAATGGCGAGGATAGTGAAGAACACACAGAGGAAGAAAAAAGGAAACGACGGGTAAGAATTGGAACTAAACAGCCGGGAAAGAGCATCAGAACGAAGTTTCCACAGGAACGTTCCAAATATGTAGATGACGATCCCATGAAACTTTTCTTAGTCGGATCGAAAATAAATTCAATCATTCACTTATTGGCTTTAACTTCGTTTAAATTCGAATTGGTTTTATCACTCACAGGCCTTTTCAATAACAAAGCGGAATACAAAACATGCTTCTAAGATGGACTAAAAACGTCAAGTGAATTTAAAAGAAATGCAGCATAACAGTTTTTAGAAAGGAAGCTTGTGAAAAAAAGGCTTGAACAAGATTCGAGCCCTTTACCTTTCTGCTACACCTGGGCAGTGACCTCCTCAACTAAGTATAAAGCCACCTGGGATCAGCTCCAAGTTTACTTGATAACTCAATTTTCCAAGATTAAAAAGAACACCTGAAGTATGACTCGGTGATGACATGTATCCCAAGGACTTTCGTCCTTGATTGACGATTGTGATCTTCTAATGAATGAAAAAGGTCAAAGTCAAATGATCTAAGTATTTTGTTTTGAATTTCTCTTTCGATTAGTTTCATGGTGAAAGGGAAAATAATAAAAACAGTAAATGAATTATCTGGAATGATTGAAGGAAATTATTCTTTGCCGTTCTCCCTCCTCTTTAACAAAGTCGCCATTGAGAAGGTTTGCTTTGAAGGTTAAAACCATCTACAACTAACTTTGAGTATGCCTGAAGCATCATAAGATATGAAGATAAAAGGAAAGCCAAAATATGGAGCAAATTCTTAGCTGTACACTGTGATTTCATGAACAAAATCAATATATCTGTGTTTGCTTGTTTTCCAGCTGAGGTTATCAGACCCAGTGCACTCCTGTCCTTTGTGGAAATTCGTTCGAGACAAGCTTCAAGAGTGTCGCTCGGTTTATGGACATGAAACCTTCCAGTACGTAATGGGCTCCATGGACTCCGCTGTGGTCACTCAGCTTGGCGCTTTTATAAACCACTAAAGCGCTATATGTCACCAACAGAAGGGAATTTAAGGGAAACTTAAACCGTCGTCAAACCTCAAGAACACGAAGATATTTCAACATACCGTTGCATTTGATTCATGGGGCGTGTGCTATGTATTAGTTGTCCTCAATTAGAAGTGGTGCCGCCGGGAAGCTAGTTTTTCTGCATAGGTTGATCGAAAAAGTGTAATGGAAGATTAAATAAATAAAAGTCTTTTTATAGGATTACACAATTACTGGTGAACCAGTAGTTTCCATTGTGGTCCTTGCAAGCAAATGAAACAAAATGGTCTAAATTGAACATAACATCATTAAGAACATCATTAAGAACATCATTAAGAACCCCAACCGGCCGGAGGCAAACCAGATTGTGTAGGAAAGGGAGTTTGTACAGATTTTCTTTAAACGTAACTTGCCATCTTTACACTTGGTCATGTGACTAACAATTGGTAATCTAGCCGTTGGAGCTGTATATATTTAGGAACTGATAAGGTAATCACTTATTAGGTCAGAATGCAAATTTTCAGTTAAGGTGCATAGAGGTTCAGTGGCTATTTGAAAATCTTGAAATTTAGTTTCAGTATTTGTCACCCAGTGAAATTTTCTATTGCTCAGTGCTGAAGACGTAATTAGATTTTTAGTTATATTTTAGGCGGAATAAGTGAGGACACATTAAAACATAAGCATGCTACGCATGCATGACTTATTTTTTTGGATGGGTTGGTTGAGATGGGACACCTTGAGTAACTGTATTTTTCGAATTCGTAGAAGAAAAAGAGCATTAACTTCCAAAGTTTCCAACCGAAATACTGTTCGATAGAGAGTAAAGATACGTTTCTATTTATATGAAAAAACTCAGACACAGGTTTTTGTGGTCTGTTGTCACTACTGTCTGAACAATCTTTAGCAGAAATAATCTACACTGGTGCCACGCTCACTGTAGTCTCCTTCGCAGCCTTTTTTTGGTCTCGTGACCAACACGCTCTCTTCCCCATCCCCGTTGCGAAACAAGACCAAACAGCGGATGCTCAGATTTTCCACAGAAAGCTAAATGCTGTTGTTGCTAAATTTTCCACGCAACTCTCACGTGCTTTGACGTTTTCTACCAATCCAGTTCGCCGTATGCTACCTTGGACTTCACCTACAAGTGTTACAGTTTGGGATGGTTGGGGTGTTGTGGAACACTTACTTCTCCCTTTAGCGCATTAGATCATATTCTTATAATAAATTTTGCGCTGTATAAGTATCAAATTTATTATTATTTAGTATCCCTTTTCCTCATATCCCTCATTTCCAAAAGGTACAGCATATGTTTTACAGATCCTGCTTATACCGGCAGCATTTTCATTTTTTTTTTCTCTTTCTACATTTCTATTTACGGTAGTACAACGAAAAAAACCGTTTTTTTTTGTTTTTCTTTTTTATAGAGATAATTTAAAAAAATCCACCGACTTCAGCAACTACCGAGCCAGAGCAATCTGTACCACTCTACAGCAACCGGCTATAGCAAAATAAACCGGCGCGGTAACTACAGCAGCACACTACTTCAATTACTCCGATCTACAACAACCTCAATGAACTGCAGGCCTGTGAATGAAACGAAGAGAATGAACTCTGCGTATTTTCTAATTTCCTTCAAAAGAAAAAATTAACATTCTGTAAGGTTACAAAACTTTACACACCTGAAGTAGCCCAAACTCAGAAGTAATCGATATCAATGGTAAAGGAAAACTGTCAACATAGCGGGCGGAGAGGGGAGAGAGAAGAAGGCTGCCAATGGCTGATGGGATCGACTTCGGCAAGGCTGTTTTGTAAATTTGCCATCTTATTTTCTCGCAATCGTGTAAAAAAATGTAAGGCAACATTTGAGGTTTTCAGTATTAATTTTCTCCTACTTGACTGACTCTGAAAGGTGAGTGAAACAATTAACTTTCGCCTGCCACAAATGTTAACATGTAAACAAATTATGTTGAGCATTTAGCACATAAAAACTACTTTATTTCCGTCACATACCTTGAGGTATTGTCTTGCCAAATTTAGTGACTTTTTGGTTGATATGGGAGACACATTTTCTACTTACTCGGTTATTTCATAAGTCGTAAGCACAGGGGCAAACCGACTTTATCCGCCATAGCTTCACACATTTGTTCTCACTTCGCTGACGGATACATTAACCTGAAGTTGTCAGATGGCTAGTAATTCTATAACCCTGTTCCAGTAAACTGACTTAACATGAATTGTGAAGTGAAAAATGGAAACGATGAATACCCAGTTTTTGCTTGAAGAAACTGCTTATATTTTCTTTTCTTGGTCTTCATTTGACTTTTAATCGAAACTCGCATCGAACATTTTTTTATTTTCGTCATAGTTAGATTTTCAGCCTATTTCTCGTGCAAGGCCTTAGCGGCCAAGAAAATTGTTGGGCTCTGGGAACGAAGTGTTTCTCAATGAAAAACACTCGTTCGGCTCGTTCGCGAATTCGTTCGGAAGGTTTGGAGTTCGCAGAACTAGATGGCTGGCATAAGTGAAATTTATACTACTAAAGCCATGTTAGATAGTCAGATGGTTCACATTGGGAAACAAGGCAAGTGAACGGCTATTGTGCTGGATTACAGTACGATTGCTTGAACAGTAATGGCGAGATGTAGGAGAAACAGTGGGAATTAACTTTTAAGGCTTTCAGAAAGTAAGAAGATCAACCAAAAATATTCAGAAATAGGAAAGCATTGCTAATCCAGGGAAATGGGCAATTATTATTCGATATTTTCCATGAATACAAAAGCTTTTTATTATTGATCACACCATGACCTGTTGGGTAATCATAACAGGGATGATATTTCAAAGTTTCACAATTTAGGTATGTTAGGAGCCGGTTTTATTGCAAATTAAAAGCCATCAAACAATTTTGCTCAAGTGCGCTTGGTTAAGTGTATCATGTGACTGAATATTCTTCAGCTAAAACTGGGGAAAATCCTAGGCTATAACCCAGTGGTTAATCCCTAAATTTCAATCCTTACATCCACTGTTCATAAACGTCTTTCCGGCACATTGCAAAACTATTTGAAGGATAGTAAACATTATTAAAAACTGGATCATTGGATAATGCAATCGAATACTTTTTATTGGCTTAGCCGTTGTGGTATAGGATATACCATAATCTACAAATATGGTAAGCTTGTGCATCAGCTTAAAATTAAAAGGGAGCTAAAAAATTTAATGAAATTTAATTATTTAACTTAATTATTTAACTTAATGTTTTTAATAAAACAATTATTCCATGAGCGCTTGTTGGATATGAGATATTATAGCCAACTTGGCACTACTCGCCTCGTTGGCTATCTATCATCTCATATCGAATGCGTGCGTGTGGAATAATTGTTAAATAGTCTCCATGTGACAAGGAAATATACTTATGTATTTATCATTGAAGATAATCAGTTCCTAGTGGCTGACAGTTTTCGAGAGCAGTGCTTGAGGAAAATTGTTCCCATCTCGGAACAGATGATGTCCATGGACAAATGTCTGTGCCTGTTTTAGTGCTATATAAAGGCTATTAGTTATATACCATAGACAGGTCATGCTATTATTGTTTGTCACAAAAGCCAAGGAATTCTTAGCTACTTCCAAAAGACCCTTATCTTGTTCCAGTTGAAAAAAAACACATGTTTATAATTGCTAAATGAAAAAATGATGATCAACATTTTCTTCCAAGTAACCACTGTAGACAGAGCAAGCTAGTAAATGCCAGGAAAAGGTTAATGAAAGTTTTTTCTAATATAACCATTGTCATTATAGTGGTAGGTAACCTCAACTTAATTAAGCTTACAAGAACTATCTAATTGGTAGCCTCTAACTATGTTTTAATTGCAGTTTTGCTGCAAAAACAGTACTGCCAGCCCTATAGTCCATTGTCCCATGGTGATGGACAAACAACAATTTTGCAATTCTTGGAGGACTGTATGGGAAGGGTTATATTTAGGAGCCACATATTGGAAATGCATAGTGTCAATTATGTAGATGAAATTATTTCTTGTTATTTATAGTTGACATGGGTACTTTAGAGTTGAGCAGCCAAGACACAGAACACAAATTAAGGAGAGGTATGTCAACTCCTAAGGGCTAGTTTATTGTTTGAAAATATTATTATACTGTAGCTGTTACAAAGATTTTTGTTACAGTATGTTTTTAGTGGTTCAGGTCTGGTCTGGAGTTCTAGGAAAAAGAATCAATGACACAAAAAAAATTCTGCAAATGATTATAATCAGTACCTTGATGATGTTGATGAACACTGGAACATTGAACTTTATTTGCCTTTGTCATTACATTACATAGCTTTAATTATAGCCTGCTAAAATAAGCTATAATATTATGGCTGGAGATCTTAGCAAGCTCTACTGAGCTTTTATAAGAAGATCCCCATCTAATAAAAACTGTAACTTAAAGCGGATGGTTTAATTATGAACGCAAGATATTTTGCTGCTTTGCTGATAAAATTACGATTTGAAGTTATATCTCTAGCATAGAATTGAACTATGATTTTGCAGATAGATTTTCATTAATCTCTTAAATTGTGTATATGATTTTGATTCTTTTAGGTCTTTAGGTAATTCATTCCACATTTTTGCTCCCCTAAACTTCAATGAAAACTTCCCATAATTAGTTCTTTTTAAATCGATGAATACGTTTGAGGCTGATCGAGTATTGTGACTATGAAATTTTTCATTTGATATAAAATAATTTCTAAAGTAACTTGGTAGCTTGTCATTAAAGAATGAGTACATAAAAAGTGCCATTAAGTAGATATTATATCTATTAAGAATATTTAACGATAAATGATACTGATAAAATGATAACATCCCAGCTCTGAGACATCTCTCTTTTCTTAAACAGTCAGTAAAGAATTAAAAGTTGGCTTTTGGACTTTTAACCTTGGAAGGAGACAAATCTGTTACTGAAAGTGCTGTAGCTTATATGCCAGCTTCTTGCTTGGATAATTAACTACTTCTGTGTAGTATTGGGCATCTTGACCTCATTCCCAAGATCTCAACATTAATAAAATTGTGGTAGTTCTGATGATGTGGTGTTGAAAAATCATATGCGCAGTTGATCATCCCGTCATGGAAACTGCGCAATATAAATTCACAATTTTATTTTATTTATTTAATTTTAATCAAACAACATTCTCTTGCCTGTACTTTTCTTTTTATCATTACTTTCTGCTGGGTGTTGTATTGATGTTATTTGGGGAAGTTAAAAGAGTATGAGTTAAAGAATTTAAGGGTTAGAATAGGGCCCATATTAACCAAAAAAACTTGATAATTGTGGATGCTACAGAAAATCAATAATTAAATTTCCTAGTGGACTTAAGAATCCAAGTGAGACTATTACTACCCAGAAATCCCAAGGTACTTCCACCAAAGTCAGTGTTGCCCAAGGTGGAATTACACTTTCCTGAGGGTGCTTAATTACAATAATTTAAACGTTTGGAGGAATACTTGGATGTCAACATTTGTTTTGCTAGAGTGGTAGCTTTGTAGTATATTATTCAAATCTGACAATTTCACAGCAGAATATCAACTAAATTACTTTTCCCTGTAGTTAGCATTCTCATTATGGAGTAAACTTATCATTAAGTAGTACATTTCTTTGAAAATGCCTTGTACATTATAATGAGGAAACTGATACCCTCTTGAGTCCTTTGATTCTGCTGTGAGACATTTTGTAAGCACTTGTAGAGGCAAAGCTTGGAATGCATAGCAGCACTCAATTTAATTAGGGAGACAAATAAACAGCTTAACATAAAAATAACAAACAAATAATATCAAACATAATAAAGAAGAACAGAAATTTTCAAGTTAACTCCACCTTTAGCCTTACTGTACTTTTGTACAGGTATATGGATGTTGTTCCTTTCTTTAACTAACCATTCATTCTCCTAATTTCTGAATAGTGTTCCTACTTTGGTTGTCTTTAGATTATCTCCTTCAGAAAGCTTTTTGCACACACCTGAGATTTGAATTATAGATGTTTTGTGATGGTTTTTTTCCTTTTATCAACGGTTTGTTTGTTGAGTTGGTGGTGTAATTCATATTAGTTTTTTTTGATGAGTGGATGGAAAATGAGGCAAAGAAGAGTTCACCATTTGAACGGTTTTTACAGTGAGTCGTCCATCCAACCATAGGCCTTGTCTTTTAGCTTCGTCAATGGACATGAACTTCATTGAGTTGTTGTAGTTTGGATTGAACTGATGCAACTGCAGCCCCTGTGAAGCAGTTTGGTTATTTGTCAATGGCCTGGGATGTTTGGGTAGAATGGTGAGTTTAATTGTCATAGATTCTTTTATCTAAATGGTTAAGAGGGAACTTTTTCTCATTGGCATATTTATGGACGAGAAGTTGTTAAACAATGTGAGAAATTGGTTTCAAGTGTTCGTCAGGCGAGTGCGTTTTCTAAAGAAATGGGTGGCGGATGGTGGGACACAGTCAGCAAGATAACTGGCAGAAAATCGAATAACCAAATTATCTCATCCATCATCGAACCAGAAACTATCAATTCCTATTTCAAGAAATCAACACCAGTCGGCAGTATACTGCACCTGAACAACTTCCAATACCTTATGGAACTAGAATCCTTACTTTTAATGTTAACACAGACAAATGGTTCCTGCTTAACGAACTGCTGCAGGCCCTGATCAACTCCCCACTGGTTGTGGGAAGACTATACTCACCAGCTTGCACCGATTATCACTAAGATATTTAGCCACTCTATCATGCACCAGTCTGTTCCTACACGTTGGAAGACTGCAAACGTCAGACCGATTCCAAAAGAGTTGCCAATTACTGAATGCACACAACTCAGACCAATTTCTCTAACCAACATCATAGTGAGACTTTTTGACATTAACAATGACCAATTTGGATTTAAGGAGGGGTGCAACACTACTCCAGCCCTCTGAAAATGTCAACATTTCTGATTTCTGCACTAGATCTAGACTATATGCGCATGTTGTCCTTTGACTCTAGTAAGGCATTCGACACAGTATCCTGCAATATTATCTGTGACAAGCTGAAGTCTACTAACATAAACCCATATATCATTAACTGGATCACAAGCCTTTTGGACAATCGAAAACAAAGATTAGTTGTCGACGATGTGGTCACTGCGTTCGTTGACATTTTTAGGGGGGTTCCTATTTAAGGCACCATATTAGGACCCATTCTATTTTCTCTTGTGGTGAATGATATTGCAGATGTTTCGCCTGCTGTTTCTCCAGTGAACAATCTCTTAGTGAAGTATGCTGACGACATAACGATAAGTGTTCCTGTCAGGCAAAGCACAGATACTGCCGCCGCTGAGGTTGAGAACATGATGAAGTGGATGGATACAAACGAGATGTCTCTCAATTTTACCAAAACATGGGAAATGTGCATGCACGGCAAATCTACTAAGTTATCCCCTCCAGTATTACCAGGACTAAAAAGGAAATCCTGGTTAAAACTATTAGGAGTCACATTTCAGGAAGATGCTACGTACCGGGACATCCACATCGACAATATGATGCTAAGTTTACCGGATCACCGAGTCAACTCCGAGTCCGAGTCAAATCCGAGTCCGAGTCAAATCCGCGTCCGAGTCAAGTGACCGAGTCAGTGGTTTTTTTAAATGGTACAGATCGACCACATATTCAGGGAGCTGTAGAGAGAGAAAAAGAAAAAGTGAGCTTAACTTCGTTGGAGAAAAGCTCGATCAGAACAGGGCCAAGAAATAAACAACAGACTCTAACCTCGAGGTTGACCTTTTCGTCGCTGTTCTTTTCGTCATTTTTGATAGTCAGATCGACCACATATTCGGGAAGCTGTAGAGTAGAGAGTAAAAAACTTATTGACATGACTTCGTTGGAGAAAACCTCTTAAGAGGGCTAAGGGCGCTGCCCTTTGTATCTTTACAGAAATCAAAGTTAAAAAAAGATTTCTGTTACTAATTTAGCTGAAAAGAACAGTGCTTACGTATATGTAATCATATGTAAACTCATTGAAGATTTACATGTGATTTAAAAAAATTCGCACATACCACTCGCCATTCTGATTGACGAAGACCTCGTGGCCTGACTGAAAAAAGGTATACAGCTGACCTGTGACTCGGCCTGACTCGAACTCGGACATGACTCGGGCTCGGACTTGACTCGGAGAATAGATTCACTCATATGATGCTATCCAAAGCCAGCAGTCGAATGTACATTCTTAGGGTATGCAAATCGTATGGATATTGTAAAGATCAACTCAATTCTTGTATGGGATTTAAGTTTGGGGTGCAGCTTACCAGCAAAAATATCTGGACAGAATCGACAGGTTTCTAAAGAGGGCCCACAGGTTTGGCTTCACCACAAAGAGAACAACTATACTTGACTTAGTTAAAGATAGGGACCTAGGCTCTTTAAGAACGTAATCAGTGATGATCATATACTTCATAATTTGCTACCTCCAAAGAGGAGACGTGTGCTCCATGAGCATAAACATGACTACCTAGGGTTAAAACTGAACGCTTCAAGCATTGTTTCCTTAGTAGATGCCTCGTCAATTAAACTCACTGTATTTAAGAAACTATAATATTACAAATTTTATTTATTCTTAATTATGACTTTCTTATTAACTTATTGTAAAGTTACACGTTTGTTGTTTCTGATTTTTATTATACTAAAGAAGATTGTGGCAACTACCTTGACAAAGCTTACTTCCGCAGATCCTAATCTTTTGAACAATAGAGAGCTTAAGCATCGGACGTTTTTGATTCACGGACGTCAACCGGAATTTAAATATGAGCTTCGCAATCAGTACGCATTTGCATACGTTTTTGACGTGAGGTCAAAGACGTGAAAGCGAGATGTTTGCCATGCGTGTTGTTTTGCTCTGTCTCAGGACTGTCTCAGTACAAGACTGACACCATGTCTTCATTTTCAATCGTCAAATCAAACCCGTAAGTACATTGTATGTTTCATAAGAAAGTAGTTTTTTATCTGCACTTAAACAATAACTTTTAAAAATGGGACAAAATGCGCCTAACTGTGTGTTTGGCACAAGTTTCCGCAGGTTCTGTTACTTGGTTTTGTTTTATCGTGAATTGGTTTTTGTATGTCGCCATTCTTTTAGTTACCCTACGAGCAGAGGTTTTTTCCAGAACAGGAAAAATACTTATATAATAGTTTTCCTGTTTTGGAAAAAACCTCTGCTCGCAGGGTACCATTTAGTTTAAGTTATCTTGCAAAATACATAGCCCCTCTAACTTGTCGGCAGTGGTTCTCTGATTACAGTGGAAGGTGTCCGGTAGTCGGAGCGCATCAGCCAGCAGTGGAAGGTCCTTTTTTTCAACTCTAAACTCGGACTTGCACTCTGGTTCCTCGATACTCTCGATACTAAACCTCACGTATTTTTCGTACGAAATCTCAGGGTTTTTTGACGAATTCTCTTTCAGTAATAGCAACAGTTCCTCGTCTGACACCAGTCCTTGGTCATGAGCGATTGAAAGGGATTTTTTCACATCCCTTAAATACGGCATGTTGCAAATTACGGCTACATTTCCTTTATAAACAATGACCAAAAACGTGACAGCTGTGATCAGCTGTCACGTTCGTGGTGACGCAGGTGTCCAGCTTAAGTAAAAAATTTCGCGCCTAAAACGCCGTTGTCGATCCAGTCTCTCCCGGTATTCTGACGTCCGTGACATCAAAAACGTCTGATTGCTCTCTAATTACATGGGACTATTACTTAGGCATCGGCGTGTTTTGTTAGATTCACTTCGCTCAAATCTCGTTTCAAGTTTTTTTATACTTCACTTGCATCCGTGTATAGATACTGTTACGGTTTAACAAGTGTGCTGTGTATATCATTCAGTTACAGAGAAGTTCCTTGAAAACATTCACATGATGTTAAATGAACCGTCCGTTGGGCTTTATAGAGTGCAAGAACATGTCAGAAGATCGTTGCCTCAGCTTGTTGACAAGAAGGTGTGTGTACAACAATTACTAAACTTATTGTGTGATCCCTTGATTCTGGGTAAGTGCGAGTGATTGTTAGAGTCGCGTATCGTGGGAATTGTAATTGTCATGAATGCTCTCCATTATGTAATAGTGTATACGGTATAGTAGATATATTTAATTACAGTTCTTTTCTTGCATAGATTGAGATGCAAAGTCTACAGAAAAAAGTTCAAGGAATATCTTATGATGTTGACTATTCCCTCAAGTATGTCCGACATTTGTAATGTGTGAAAGGTTTTCATAATTATCGCATGACCATTATTTAACCCTTCAAAGGAATTGAAACGCGCAATTTGCAGTTACCAGACTTAAAAATTTAAGCGAGATTTGGGTTTTAACTGAGTTGATGATGGGGGACACTTACTCTTCTCCCTAGCTATCCACATGTCCACATATCCCACTTCAAAAATATACAAGTTTATTTTACAGCTCGTAGCTATACGAGCACCATTTTTGTTTGTTGGCGGCTTACACTTCACGATGTGTAGAGAAGGAATGTATCGCGAGAAGGAATGTATCTGTTCCAAGTAGTAACACCAAACAAAGATAATGACGAAGATTTAGAAATATGAGGGCGAAAAAAACTAAGAGCAACTACCAAGTGAATCAAAAAGCGAATGCAAAATAAAAGGACGGTTTATGGTTTATCACTTTCACGGGTTTATTACGAATCAACTTAACTGCCTGCTCCCAGTTGGCTTGTTAGCTCAATTGGTAGAGCGCTGCACTAGTATCGCAGAGGTCAGTGGTTCGAAACCCGTACAGGCCTGATTTTTTTCAGGTCTGATTTTCGGTATTGCTTAAATAGCGCTATCTACTGCGAGGATCGTGCATCATACGTATCTAATACCGCAGTTCAAAATATATGAACTTCATATATTTCATTGTATCTGGTTTATCACTTTCACGGGTTTATTACGAATCAGCTTAACTGCCTGCTCCCAGTTGGCTTGTTAGCTCAATTGGTAGCGCGCTGCACTAGTATCGCAGAGATCAGTGGTTCGAATCCCGTACAGGCCTGATTTTTTTCAGGTCTGATTTTCGCTATTGCTTAAATAGCGCTATCTACTGCGAGGATCGTGCATCATACGTATGAATTTAATTTAGTAATTGATCATTATCATTGATCATTAGTAATTAGGCTTTTTATTGCAAAATAGCTTTGTCATGTTATTTTAGGATTTACTCTAAATAAGTTTTAAGGTTTGTTTTCTCGGCTTATTAGCATACTTTCCTTGCTAGGGTCTAACCAACCCTATCAACCCGAGATTAAAATAAGTTTCATTCATTCATTCTCTACGAAGCACAGGTGGATATTAAGAAGGCTTTACATTTGTTGAGGAAATTTCCTTCATATCGTTGGTAGAAAGGTGTTGTAAGTATATTTGTCTTTTATCTTCTAGGACTGTTCAGTCTATGCAAAACATTTCCCACTTCACAATCATACAGGTATGGATATCCCGTTAAGGGTATCATCATTTGTAAATATGAATGTGTATTAGGTCTCCTGTTGTTGCAGTTCCAGTTTTTTTTTTAATCGCCGGACAAAAAATGTTCTGTCATTAAAAAAAAGAGATGTATTCTTCAAGTCCCATGTTTTTGAAACAGTGCTGTACTGGGTTTGAAAATTTCACAAATTCAAAGTAATCGAAGTGAACTACTTATTTTTTACTTCAAACTGTGGCAAATAAGGTTTTTCAATGTTATTGGAGTGACTTATACATTCTATATTTTCCTTGCTGTACCGTCATAAAATCGTACGTGATTAACTGAACTCCTATACTTTACATTTCCAGGAGTGCCTAAAGAGTGCGATTGCTTCGAAGAAGAACCTTGACTTTAAAAAAGTAGAGAGGTAGAGCACAATTTGATGAACCCCCTCTATGTATCTCTGTAGTTATAAAAGGTTCATCAAGGGCGTTGTGAATCGTGTACGATATTCTGTATTTACTGTTACCACCGGCGGCAAACGATTATTTCAGAAAATTTTTATAGTGACAAAAAATTAACTCCATTGCCATGGCTTGTACTCTTCATGTTCTTCAAAATGAATGCTTTAAAGCATACTGATTTTAAAGAATCAGTAGCTATTTATGTGAAATTGGCTTATGACTGAGTGCAAGTTCATCGTGAAGTTTTAAAGATTTCTAATTTTATGTCTGTCATTTCATAACTGCTTTCCAAAAATATATACTAAACTTAAGGTATAGCCTAGGATTCCCTTCTTTATTAGCTTTCCAAGATTTTTTGCTCGCCAGACTTCGATGCGAGAGAGAAACTGCTCGCAAACTCTAGTTAGGTTCATGAACTGGTGCTTATGTTTCCTCGACAACTAAGTATGTTTCGGCCAGACTCCCGCTTAAAGAGATACATTTCCAATTTCCAACAGAAAAGACCAAAAAGCTGACGCCTCAGTGGATTCCGATGATGAACCAGAGGTTCTTGAATCTGTTCAGGTGAGCTGGTTACACACTTTTGTGGGTAAGGTGTCTCTTAATTACGTTGCTCTTCCTCTGAAAGGATTAGAAAAACGGCAAGTCAA